AGAATTAATGAATATAGCAAAAAGTAAAGGAGACAGCACACCACCCTGAGGCACTCCAGCCCGTAATTCGCACCAAGATGAGAACTCATCTTCGATGCGAACACGCTGCCGTCGGCCGTAAAGATAACTATGAAACCAGCCAATCACCGGAGGAGATATGTTAATAGAACGTAACACACTCAATAAGATGTCAAAATCAACAGTGTTAAACGCATTGCTAAAATCAAGCAATACTAACACAGTGAGCTGTTTGTTATCCATACCTCGTCGAATGTAATCAGTAACTTTAACCAACGCTGTTGTCGTACTATGACCCGATCGGAAACCAGATTGGAGAGGATCCAGGATACAATTTCTATTTAGGTAGAGATTTAACTGAAAGAAAACTAGTTTCTCCAGGAGTTTGGATAAAAACGGGAGAATTGAGATAGGACGAAAGTCGGAAAAATGCAAAGCATGGGGTTTTTTTGGGAGAGGCGTTACAAGTGCACTTTTCCAAACATCAGGAAATTTTGAAGAGGAGATGGATTTATTCAAGATATGGGTAAGGATAGGAGTAACAAATTCTAGGATAGGTAAGATCATGTTACGACTAACATTGTCATCACCCACGGCATTGGACGATGGACAAAATGTTCTTTTTAACATCACTATCAGTGAAAGGAGAGAAATTAAACGGTGGAAAATCAGGAGTTGGTATTGAAGAAAGAATACTCAGAGTCCGATCTTTATCTGAGCTATCTAATGTGCTAGAACAGGTGAAGTATTTGTTAAGGAATTCAACATCAACATTATGATGAGGAGAATTATTGGATGTTTTACCAACTCCAAGAGACTGAAGAAACTTCCAAACTTTGGCTGCGTCGCCGTTTTCGACGGATTTATGAATATGGCGTATTTGTGCATCCCTACACAAAGTATTGCAGCGATTCCGTACTTTATTATAATATCGTAAGTTTTTCTCAGATTTATCAGATTTTAACTTACTTTTAGCAAATCCTTTTTTTATAATAAGTTTTTTTAGACTATCAGTTAACCAAGGTGCAGGTAAATGTTTCATTTTTATTGATTTTACTGGGGCATGGATGTCATAAAGTTGGATAAGAAAGGAGTTAAATAACTCGACTTTCAAGTCGACTGTTGAAGCATTTTCAACAGCTGACCAGTCCATGCGACGAGCATCTTCCAGAAGACGTTCTTTGTCCATTCCACCAAAATTACGTTGCAGAAGAATTCTCGATTTTGCTTTAGGAGGACGAACTTTGTATGCAAGAAACAAGAGATCATGATGAGAGAAAAGATCAGCGTCATGCTGGCCATGCTTCAGAACAAAATCTGGAGAGGATACAATAATTAAGTCAAGTAGTGATGGAGTACAGTCAGGCATTTTATGCGTAGCAGATAGTGGTAATATATGTAGATTACAAGCCTCGGTTAATGATTTTAGCTTTTCACACCGATAGTCACCCTTGAGTAGGCATGTGTTAAAGTCACCCATGATTATAGTGTGAGTATATAATGGGATTAAATTTTCTAATAAAAATTCGAAAGAAGAGAAATAGTCAATATGAAGAGAAGGACTGTAACAAACGCCAAGAAGAATTTTCGTATTGGATAGGGTTACTTCAATTAAGAGATGCTCAGCCGCATTAGAAGGAGATGGTTGGGGGGACAAACTTACTACCGCAAAAGGTAAATAAGAACGGAGATAGATTGCCACACCACCACCCCCCCTTCCAATACGGTCGTTGCGAATAAGATGGAATCCTGGTAATGAATAAGAAGTGGACGGCAAGCATGGTTTCAACCAAGATTCAGAGACTAGAATGGCGTGAACGTTATGGGATTCAAGGGACGCAAGCATGTCAGGATAATGAGCCGGAATGCTTTGGGCATTTATATGAATTACATTAAAGTTTTTCAGGGAATCTGAGAAATATGAATTAAGTGCTACATTTATCGGAATTGAAGATGTTGTACTGTGGAAGCTGTGTTCACTAGATGCATTATCATTTGACGATAAAGACAAGAAATCGTCAGAATCATTACCTACATCATAATTATCTAACAACATAGTAAAATAAAATAAAATATATAATATATATGATATATAAATATAAAACTAAATAGTTAAATTAAATATATAAGTAAGTACCTAAACAGATCTCTATCCCGCCAGCAGTCTGAAAGAGATCAAACAAAAATAATAATAATAATAATAGATGTTTCAGAATAACTGAAATAAAAAGAGACAATTTTTAAACAAAACAAAACTACCAAAAACTGTAAACAAATAGCATTTTACAAATAAAAATATGTAATAAGCACAAAGAGAATTGTTATAGAAATGTTGCTTTGTGATAAGAAAAGAGAAAAAAAAAACATAAACATGAAATGTAGAAGGCAAAAATACCATAAGGTACGGCTGTATGACCATGAGACCTTTGCCTACGCCGAAGAAAGAAATAAAAATGTGCAACTGTTATCCAATGTCATGTCAATTCACTTATTGTTTGTTTACATTGAAATGCTCTTTTCTTTCTTTCCCTCTCTCTTACTACCAACTACCTCACATCGAAAATATAAAAGAAAAATGGTGATATATATTAATAAAAATAAATTAAAAAATTTTACAATAGAAGAATGTAAACAAACCAGAAATACGGTAGTCGCACGAGATACAACAGATTTAACCAGCTCAAAAAAAAAAGGATTCATTTTTTACCAATTCTCTTGGTTCTTACTTGAGCAGACCTGGAGTCTTTCACCACACTTGGAACCGAGGTTACAGCAGATGTGGCTTGAGTCACCGATTCAGAGGTCGAAATAGCATCAAGATCAAGCCTAGAATGGATACGATGGCGTACTTGATCAGGTCCTAGTACGAAGATGATGCCATCCCTCGTCCAGCACCTTGAAACTCCAAAACGTTGGCGCGCCGCTTGGAATGTAGTATGCCGACCCTTTGTAAGAAATTCGGACAATGTAATCCCTGTGCCTTTCAAATTTTTCTTTGCAAGCCATATCTTCTCTTTTGTCCCATAGTCTCTAAATTCTACAAGCACAGCCCGTGGTTTATCAGTGCCAGGTAGACCAAGACGATGTGACCGGCCTATTGAATCAGTGGTAATACCAGGGACTTTCAAGTGGTCAGATAGAATCTTGACAACACTAGAGGATGTGTTCTCTTTCTTGTCTTCGGCTATACCATGAACAAGCAAGATTTTTCTTCGAGATCTCATCTCCATGTTATCATTTTGTTGAGCTAATAGTTCAACTTGCAGTTGCAAATTTTCTAAAGCGGTTAAAACAAAGCACCGGAATGAATGAAATTGGTGATTAATATTTGAAGTGGGGCTTGTTGCTGGAATTGAACTCCTGAGATCTTTTTGGAACTCAGCCATCCTTAAATTGAAATGTTCAGTGAGGTCCGCAACAGTTTTCTTAATTGACTCCATTTGTTTTTAAGGTTTTAACAATGTGGTAGTGAAGTGAATGTGCTAAAGAGTTCAAGTTATTCTAAATATATTTCAGACTTGACTGGCAGGAGTTTATATATCACAGGAACATTAAATTTATATTAAATAGTCCCTAGATATAATATTATACAAATTAAAGATTTTTTATGAAAATCTGAAAAACATGTTTTACCTTTGCGTAGGCAAAGGACTTTACATGTATTGCTCTGACATACCATACGCACAGGAGATGTTTTAATGCTACAATTGCAGCACTAAAATATTCTTCTCGAAGTGCTTCCCTCAGGTTGATGGTGATTGGCATTCTAGACAAATTTCTTGCGGGTTTGTAGGCTTCTGACACTTTGTAAATGCAGGTTCTGGAGAAGAGGCCACGGAACTACGGTTGCTGTAGTATACACTTCGTCTAAATTCTTTCAGAGTCAGTGTGCTTAGGTCCGGGCGTGAAGAGAACTGCAGTTCTTTATAAATTAAAAAGGTATTGACTACACAACAATCAAGGAAGTGAAAAAAAATCCTATGCCACCACTTGTGAGATTTTCTGTCAACAGCATCACTTCCTTTTAGTTTATCTAATTTGTCGACAAAATTCATATTTGCGTTGTAGTCTTTGACGGCTCCTGGACAGGACACTTCAATACTGGTACCATCGCGCTCTCTGCGGTTAACTTTTCCGACATTCTTAGGATCATGATAATTTGATAAAATAAATACTGATATCTTGTGTTTACATTTCCGCAAACTTAATATTGTGTCACTAATCCGGTAATCATATTCACCTCTTTGTAAATGTTCGTCTTCTTTTAGCGTTGGCAAGAACTTTCTGTTTGAATATTTTCCTGTCGTAATTTTACTTGGAAAGGGTAACTGTTGAAGTAATTGGCAAAATAGACATTATGATTTTTATCTTTTATAATTTCGCAAAAATTCCTAACAACTTTACCACCTCAGTCAGTTTCAATTGTAGTACCCTGCTTGCCTGTGTTAAAATCAAAATCTAGGCAATAACCTGACTGTGCACACTTCATCCAGACCTTGTACCCTCGTTTAGTCGGCTCTTTTGGCATGTATTGTTTCAGATAGCTTGTAGTTTTTTTTTTTTATTATTTCGCAGAATGTCGAGTAGAGGTCTTATTTTATAAAGTTTGTCAAAATTTGGATTATTTCTGTTGGGCATAACACTGTTGTCATTTACGTGCAAGTCATTCAAAATCCAACCGAATCTATTAAAGCTCATGAACTTCGAAACATAGCTGTCATGCAAAGCAGGTGCTGAAGACCACTAATCTTTATAGCTCGGCATTTTTTTAAATACCCATACCAAGTTCAAGGCAATAAAACATCAAGTTCTTCTGTTGTGGTAGGTGTGTAAGGCTTTCCGGGTTGAATAGCGTAAAGGTTAGTTTGAAACTTAAAATATCTTGTAAATGCTCTGTCCAAAAAAGGTGAGATAGTAAAACAGGTATAATATGTTCATGCTAAGAATTTAATCTGTTATTCCCACACTTTCAGAAAACTCACGGGGTATGTCCATCCTATCATTTTTCTTCCATTTTGGAGCTATTGTAGTCGGCCTGTTTGAATTTACGATGTAAGTCCCCGTAGAATCAGGATTCCGGCGTACTAAACTAGACAAAGGGAGGTCATCATCGGAATCAGAGTTGTCATAATCGATTACTTGTTCAAGTAATCGATTATGACAACTCTGATTCCGATGAAGATTGGAGAAGTTCTTCTTCAATCAAATCGCCTAACACAAGCAGATTTGGCTGATCTTCTGTATCTTCTTCGTCATCCTCATCGCCACAAATACTCTCGATACCTGAAGGAAGGTCTTCCACCAAGTATTCTGCGATTTCTCTATCTTATAGCCGGCGTGACATACTGTAAAAATACGAAAAAGACGCTTATAGTTACATGCATAAGCTTCAGGTAGATTACGACCATAAACCCACAACAGTCTCGGTGGTTAGTTAACTAACCACTGTATTTTCGTTGTGAATACACATCGAAAACACAAAAGTAATAGTACTTTTATGTAAAGTTGTATAAATAGATATATGAGAATACATTGAGTAAAAAACATTAAAGAAAAAAGCTTACACTTACCTTACTTTTTTTATCAAGTACGCGAATAAAAGTACATTATCGCAATATTCAATTCAACGCAAATGAACTGTCATTCAACTTTCATGTTAATTCCACTGATTGTCGGTAGATAGCGTGGATTTGAATTTAAAAAAAAATCCGAAATAGGTGGTTAGTGACACTAACCACCACGACTGAAAGAGTGGGATACGCCCAATGTCGTCGTTTCCTTCTTCGATTTTGTTCTAAAGCCTCCCAAATAGCTATTACTTCGATGGGCTTAATTATTTAAATAATTATCACACAATACAACTGCAATACAATTCCACCGAATAGATGCTACCGATCCTGATAGTCTCTACGTTTCAAGCTATGTTACGTAGTACTATTATTTATTCTGTGTTTAAGTCATATCATTACAGGTTGTAGAAGTTTTGGCGGGAACTTGACTGGCGGCGAATTGCTGTTCTTGTATTGTTTAAATAATGATTTGAAATGGATTTTGATAAAAAGATCATGTAAAATTGGTGCGATTTTCTGTATTAAATATCTGTGTATGTGAACTATTAGTGGAAACGGTGAAGAAGTGCTCCGAAAGTGATGTGAATCTAAAGATAAGGTGTCTGTTTGCTTAGGCGCCTTGAGATATTATCGCCAACTGTCTGCTGGCTCAAGTTGCGGTCAAAATCTGACAAAAACTACGCAATGTGGGTCACATCAACATATTGTGAAACAGTGTACTATATAGGATTATTATCACTTGATACTGAGATAAATGAAGACATGGCTTAAAAAACAAGCATCCAAACCATCTCATCTTAAATAAAAAATTAAGGTTGTATACCACTGACCTCTATAATGTATGGACTGGCTATACACCGTGCCATAGTGAGAGGCGATTTGATTTTCGCCATTTTGGCGCTGACAGCAGAAGTGAACGTCCACGGAACTAATAATAGAGATAAGATAGTATGAAAAAATATATCGATAAAAATTCTATACCCAGGCCTACCCGTAACGTCCATTCTATTTATGTATCATATTAATATAATGCCATAAAATAAATAAATATATCAATTAATACCTAGGCCTTAGACGCAAGCATTATACCTCATATAAAACCAATATCGACGCTGCGTTGATCTATCTACGTTTATATTCGTAACTACAGAAAGAATTATGTTCCGGTTTTCAAATGAGAAAATACCTACTCATACCTGCACTGCGGGGGCAAGAACTGATTATGTCGGACTTGCAGCTACTAGAACCCCATCATGTTCCACACATTGACAGGGCCACGGAAACGCTTTCAACACATCCGCAGCCCCACCAGCGAAGATCTCTCTCCTTAGTTGAGGACTTCCCTCCACGATTTCCCGAGCCCGATATGTGAAGGCCATGGAGCCAAGAAAAAACGAGCACTCGAGTCGTCGAGTGGCGAATTACCATACCAACAATCGTCTTCCCTTGTGACTCCACCTCGGCTGCAGTGATTCAAACAGAAGACTATTCTATTCTAGCCGCAGCTCACTAACACACATCCAAGGACTCGACAAGCCCACTCAGAGTGGCCACCTTGGGCCAGCCCTTCACTTCGGCCCAGATATGTGAGTCACCCTACGTTTACAATGGGTTACTATCACAGCTACTAATCCCCTTCCCTCCTCCCCCCGCCACGACAAGGCGGGAACTCGTTCAGGGAGGAATTATTTCTCACCTAAACTCTGACTCAAACTCACTAAGGACATTAATAATTTTGCAGTTCCAATATAAATGTATTCCCTTGATACAATAAATTGATGATAATAATTATACAGATTTAACAAACTTACGTCTTGTCATTATCAGGCGACCTCCTACACTTGGCAATGGCCCTTGAGTCTGGGGGAAAATAAGGAGATAAGAAATTTAAAAAAAAACATTCGAAATAATAATCTAATACTTTTATACTTACTGGTACTGGTACTACCATAAAACATTGTGGGTTAGCTGCACTTTTTGAAAGTGGTGCTTTTCTCATGTCCAATAAAACAGTCGTCTGTGAAGTGTTTAGAATAAAGATATTCAATTTGTTTCGGACGCCAATTCACAATTTTTGTGGTGTTTAGCCATAATTTTATTCTAGGTTCAGTTGGAAACCTGTTAATTATTAAACAGGTTTCCAACTTTGGTTGTGAACATATATTGGTAGAAAAGAACATCGATAAGTATTATAGACAAGGAACTCTACAACCCTATTGAATTTTATTGTTTATCAAAACTTAGTAATATAAAGAGAAACATGTTGGTAATTACGATATTAAGATTAGTAACACATTTTTAAGTACCTATATTATCAAATAGTTTTATATTTGCTTAATTTTAGTTACAAATTTACTTCTGGGATGTTATTCCACTTTCCTTTTGGTAACAAGTTATACATATTACGCACACTCATTATTACTAAATATAATTCTTATTATGTAATTAAAATCAAACATAAACAAAATACAGAGATACAATTTAAATAATACAACAGACTTTGGCATATTATGTATATGTCAATTTTAGGTCCCGGTACGGAAAATGAGGGCGCTTCAAATCGGCATAAGCATTTTTTATGGTCATCAAGCAGTTCGCATTTAGTATGTCCAGTCCAGCGTACTTGTGTATATAGAGGTCAGTGTTGTTTACGCATCGATCCATTTGCAGGAATAAAAAAAACAACATCAATCATAGCCTATATAGCAGAGAAAGCGAGTAGGTAAAGTCCTTTTCATGAAAGAAGTCCCCCAGACGCAGCGCTGTACTCGCGTGACATAGTGTTGCCATTTATGAGTAAAAATTTACCTATTTTACATTTAGCATATGTAATTTATCAAATAATATTATTTCCTGCAGACTTCGATGAAACTATTAAATTGTATTAAGAAATAAATACATTTTAGATAGGCTGTAATTTCATTACTCAAGCCAATACTATAACAATAGTTCAGATTAGTGAAACATGTATATTTCTGATAAGTGAAATGTATATTTGGGCATTTTTATCAAAATGTCTACCAACCCACTCATGGGATGATTCATGCAATAAGTCCAATTAACTAACGTTATTATGACTATGTAAGTGTCGTATTATTATTAAATAGTTTCAGTGTTTAGGTGAGAAACTAAAAACAAAGCAATAAAAGCCGACGATTTTTGGTCATGATCAGTACTGGGAAACGTGGGATGTCACATTTCCTAGTTTAAGTTTATTTAAACATAAATTTTGATAAAAATGTCCATTTACATAATTTACTATATTTCTGTTATGTAAAAAGTATATTTTTATTTACTTTTATAAGCGGTGTTCTACCTACTTACAGGGAAAAGATGAGAAAATAGGGTAAAGAAAAGCATTACAATTTTTTATTCAGAGTTTTATTGAATAGTTGTGATCAGCGGCCATAGGAACATCACTGTCTGAAGAGTGAATGGAAACTGAATCAGATTCTGTTTCAGTATCACTAGCCGTAGATATAATTATTCGGTCCATCTCTTCATCCATAAGGCCATCATTTTTTAAATATTCCTCCTCTAAATGTTCGACATGCGTGCACTGAGCTGTCCAATCTTCCGCCGTAATAGACTCAAATGCCTCTACAGTTAATTTTACAATTTCTTTTGGATCTTGTACCACATTCTTATCCGCCACCTTTCTTTTTAAAATGCTTCAGATTTTCTCCACCGGGTTGAGGTCGCAATGGTAAGGCGTTAATAATTCATCCACTGCAAATGTTGGTGGACCTTTATTTTGTTTGATTAGCTCAAACAGCACAGCTTTTCTCCAGGTGTCTTCAAAATATATACCCTTTTGCCGGAGCCATTCCTGCATACTACTTTTTATATTTGACATTGAAGGCGCTTTGTTTAATTGAGTGCAACGGTAAGGAGCGTTGTCCATTACCACAAGCGACCTTTCAGGTAGATTAGGTATTAATTTTTCCGTCACCCATTTTAAGAAATTTGCAGAGTTCATGTCATCGTGGTAATCTGAGGACTTTGATTAGGATTTAAACATTAATAATGCACCATTTATGAATCCATCTTTTGTTCCCGCATGAGCGATTATCCAGCGACTCCCTGATGACTCTGAGACGAACATTCCTGGCTCCTCCTCACTCTGCCAACAACTTTTTGTATGATAAGTATTGTGTATATAGGTCTCATCTAAGTATACAACGGGTCGTTTTTCCACAGTGCGATTTATTCGTATTTTATCCAAATATCTTGCACGCCATGCGGTAATGTCGTGACGTTCCATAAGTAGTTTGCGTCTGGATTGACATCGCTTGTACTTGAAACCAATCCTATTTAATATCCTGTGCACTGTTGTGATGCTTCCCTGAAAATTGATGTCTTCTCTAAGAGCTGCTCGTAATTTAGCCAAAGTTGGTAATTCTTTATGCACAACGTAAAAACTGTGAATTTTTTGCCGGATAGCGCACAAATCGAACCCGTCTAAGTCGAACTTTTTCGGATGCGGGCGACTCTTCCCCGGGGTGACAATTTTTTTCGAAGTACTCGTCGCTGTTATACCTTCTTTTGTAATTCTTGTTATAGTTTTCTCTGACACACCTGCAATTAAAGAATGAACAATTAAAAATAATAGTCACTTTAAGTTTATAATGCTTATGTACTATGTAATATACGTTTTAATTTCGGTTACCTAATTTCATCACGTTATGTATTTGTTCAATTTTTTCGCAAAACGAATTTATATCATAAAAGTCCCATCAATACAGCAAAAAATCATTATATGGCAAGTACCTGTTATGGCGGCGACTCTCTTCCGAACATTGTTCAGTGGTATTAAAACACCTTGATTCTTTTGTTCAGCTTCACAGAATTCTTTCACCTTCAATATCATTTCTCGAGCCGAACTTTTTACAACTTTTGGCATTGTAAACAATCTTTAAAATGCACTAAGCTAGTTTAAAACTCACAAAAATCTACCACAACAAACGAACTTGATAACATCGACGAACGACAACATGGCCGACCTGTCAAATTTAGTTCCAAAAATCACCGCGGGACTTCTTTCATGCAAAGGACTTTAGTTTTCTCGTTTCTCTACGAATCTTCTTCTTCTTCTTAATAACTGGCTTTACGGCTCTGGGATCTAGCCCTTCTGAGCCTAAAATTACAATATATTATAATATATAAAAAGTACTCTGTGATAATTATCCTTCACTTCATAGTATACTGCTTCACAATATGTTGATGCGTCACATTGTGCAGCTCTTGGGAAATTTTGACGGCAACTTGAGCCGGCAGACATCTGACGGTTGGCGATGGTATCTCAAGGCGCCTAAGCAGACAGACACCCTATTTTGAGAATCACATCACCATCAGAGCACTTGTTTCACAGTTTCCACTAATAGTTTACATGCGCAGACACTTAATACACAAAATCGCACCACTTTTACATATCAAAGTCCACTTCAAACCATTATTTAAACAATAATACAGGAGCAGCTAACCGCCGCCGGTCAAGTTGCCGCCAAAACACACTTCTCTACGAATCATAGCAAAACATCTGGTTGTCCATGACATTTAGGGATGTCAATGTCATTATAATTTTTTTATTGTTGTGCTATGTGCTGTGGGTTTATTTCTGCTAATATTATTAATAAGTTTTTATTCTTAAATAATATACAACTGCTTATCATGAATTTTATGTAATAAGTGGTATGTGGTCAAGGGGTTCGTTAGTTGGCTGCTCGTTTCAACAGCCTATCTAAGAATGCAACCTCTAATATCGCCTATTGGTAAGAAAAGTTTGCTTACAAATTGCAGCAACCTTTGTGTTATCTTGTGATATTGTGTTTAATATTAACGGTTAAGATATACCTAGATTTGACTATGGTGTATATTAGGCTTTTGTTAATGTGACATTTATATTTACAACCAACAAAACACCTATACAAATTTGATAAACGGTAGTAGTTTTATTTGTTTTTGTGTACACCAAAAAATACACCAAAACCAATGATATTCACTACCTCTATAACTTAGTATATTATAGAAGTGACGCAAGTTTAGATATACGATAATTTCAAAAATACAATATTTGAACCATTAAAGGAGTTTAACACTTAATTTTATAGTTATGGGACTATAATATAATGTGTATTGATACGATTTTATTAATCATAACTTGCTTTTTGTGATTGTAATGAGCAAGCTAGTCAAGTTAACAGAAGTGGTGGAGACGTTTTTAAAAACTAAAATAAAACTAAGAGATGTATAGCTCGTGTACTCTGATAATGGCAAACTTATCCTAATACATCATTCATGCAGACCTTATTACATTTGCTTACTGAAGTGTCATGATATAGGCCATGCACAGGGTGCAAATTCAGCAATAGCATTTATGCATATACTTGTATCACTCTGTGTGGAGTTGAATCCATGACTACCTTGCTGATTTGTTATGGTTGTTTGTCATCTAGCTTTTAGTGACAGTTCTAATTTGACCTTGCTAATCTTTATATATAAAAAGTACGTGTCACGTTGTTTGTCCGCGATGGACTCTATAATATTCGCATAAATATGTTAAATAAAACTAGTTTTATGGTTTTTATCGCGTGTATTAACTTATTTTATATTCCTGACGTTTTGGGTACTTTACAGCACCCATGCTCACAGGGGGGACTGAGGTGATTAACAAGAGTCTATAAAAGTGTGTGTTGCCACTATTGACATATGAATTTAAATCATGGTCTTTTACTGTAAGGCAAATGAGAAAGCTCATAATCGCTTAGCAAGCTGTGGACAGGTCTATGCTCAAATTTCTCTGAATGATAGACTTCAAAATAAGGATACTCGTAGTAGAACCAGAGTAACCAACATAGCCAAATAGATCAGTTAGCTGATATACGAGGTACAGCTATGCTGCAGTTATATTATAGTTGATGCACGAATGGGTCGGCTCAACCGAGGTAGGACCATGCTCTCATAGAATACCAGCTTAAAATAGCAGCCCAATGCTGCTGTGTTTGTTATGGTGAGTGAAGCAAAGCTTTTCACTGGAAATAAGGCACTCCATCTTCGTCCTCAGGGGTGACTACTCATCTGCATTTTGATTCTTAATCGAAGATAGATGTAGATGTCTGTCTACCACAGCATCTACTTACGGGTGGGCTCGTGTGCTAGCTTTTCAACCTTATTCTATAAAAAAGAGTTACAATGGTATGTCAAAAAACTGACAACCAATGAGGAAGAAAGGTTATCAAATGGCAACCTCATACCAGTAAGCAAAGTCCATGTCTCAGCAGAAACAGCAAAACAATGCTGCTGTGTTTCATATAATGGGTTCTGAGAACTGGAAACTCTTTTTACTGGTAATGAGGCATTTTATCTTAGACCCCAGTATTGACAACACATCTGCATTTCATTCTTGATTGAGGATAGATGTAGATGTCTATGGACTACAGCATCTACTTACCATCAAATGGATTGTGTGCTTGCTCATCACCCTAATTCTATAAAAAAAATCTTTAACGTAATATACCGCACGGAATAATCGAAAAGAGACATTGGGTAGAAAATAGTCAATAACTTAAAGAACCAGATCATCAGCTTATTGAAGAATGTTGCACAGACACTTTACGGATCTATCTAGGTCATGACTATTATATTTTAAGACCCTTCTAAATAGGTTTTTTAATAGAGGCTTAGAATGCAGCCTTGAGGCACTTTTCCTTGTCACTGTCGTCTATGTAACCAAATCCTATCAAATGTCTAACAGTTCTTAAGTAAACTATTTATTTTATTTGTTTCTCTGTCCATGGGTATTGCATAATAAACTTGATAATTGTGCTTAATTAGTATTTATATTGCACTTTAGACAATTATTGATTATTTTATTATATATATATATATATATATATATATATATATATATATATATATATATATATATATATATATATATATATATATATTACTATATTTTATGTATATGATTAGAATGTCAATTTTATTTCATTTTTACTATGTCTTATCATTGGCTTAAGAATATGAAATTATTAAAATTCTTTTTTAGTTATTAGAAATCGGCTTTTATTAATTTGTTTTTCTAGCCTAGGAATCCGTGTGGTCAGTGTGAGACAGAATGGAATAGTAATGAGTTTACTGGCAACTTATATTTTTGTACGGCCTGTTAAAAAATAATCTGATAAAAGGAATTAAATAGCATACAAAACCATTTAAAGTTGAATATTTAGTTGGTTTTTAAATAAGTAAATGCAGTTTTAATATTTGTTTAAGAATAATATTCATTCATTCATTACAGCCTATTAAAGTCCTCTGTACAACATTGGCCTCCCTGTAGATTGCCTCATAAGAGAAATAGTTGCCACGCTTGATGGACGGGTTGGCAAGTGCAGTTTTTTTTTCTAGTTGTTATTAGTAAGACGCTGCTATACATCTCCTGATTTATTTCCCTCTGTCGCCTCTTGGGACACCCAAGTGACGATATAGGAATAATAATATTAATGATGTTATACACCAACTCCTATTAGTAGGGAAAAACACATTTCATGACCTCCACTTTGAGGTTTTTATTTTATATATTTTAAACTAAACAATAAAATATACTTATACTATAAAACAAATACTAATTATTATTTGTAATACATAAAAAGTAAAGTTGCATTCTATACTGGTACGTTTTACTTAAGAGAACAGAGAGGGCTTCTCGCATCTTTGAGAGTGTTTTAGGTCAAGGAAACGTCCGCCGTGCTGCCCTAGTATGTTTTGATTTAAAATATAGACATTGAATATTATAATAAAAACATATATTTCTAATATTTATTTATATTGTTGGTTTTACGGATTTGCTACTAAGATACAATTTATTAGCTTGAAATATTTTGGTTTGATTTCTTGCAATATTCGATATCACAATGCATGAAGTTAGTGTGAAAAGTGAAACGATATAGTCAGTCAGTTTTACAGACCTATTCATATTGCATGCACACTGTCATGTGATGTTTTATCAATGACTGATACATACAAAAGCGGTAAGAATTTTAATTCTAATATAAATATTATGTACTTATATTAAAATATATATTGTCTGTTGTGGAGCAACTTTAAAAATCAAAATTAAAAATATGTTTTTAGATTAAGTATTGAAGTAAGTAGGTATCACATTAGTATTTGTTAATCAATGTTACGGAGAGGGGGGATTTCTAACACAAGTATTTATTTACTTAAAAGAAATCCTCCATCATAACAGTAAAACTGATACTGATTAAATTATATATATTTTTTTTTTCTGCCAGTAGTTGTTTAAAAACAGAATATGATACACTTTTTATGTCCGTGATCGTTTTTACGTGGTATTTTATGTGATTTTTACGTGGTTGAGCCACGCTGTAGCTATATTATGGTTGTGGCGTGAATGGCTCGACCGGGGTAATACCACGCTCTAACAGTATATCAGCATAAAATAGCAGCTTAATGCTGCTCTGTTTGTGTGTGTATTGTGAGTGTAGAGAACTGGATACCCTTTTTGCAGGAAGCGATCCTCAAAGATGACAACACAACTGCATTTTGATCTTTAATCGAGGGTAAATGTAGATGTCTATGGGCTACTTCCACTTGCCATCAGGTGGTCTGTGTGCTTCTATGTCATCCTTATTATATTAAAGAAAAGGTTGGCATCGCAAGACAAGATATCAGATCCACAGATCCAGGTGAGCGATCTAACTGTGAGGAGGAACGTGCACGAAGTCAATCTTCATGCTAGTAGACTGCTTCAAGTTTTAGTACTACCACGGGGCAATCACGGGCGCATAACAACTGATAAACGATCTTAGGCTAGGAACTGGCGATAGTTCCAAATAACACCCTAGACTCTAGGGTGTTATTCTCAGATGTATCAAGGTTAGG